CATGGAATTTTGCCTTACAATATTATTTTGTACTGTGATGAATCCCAGTAAGTGCCTTTTTTCCCCCAGGTGCTCCCAGATATTGCCTGTGGGAATGCCAGTTCTAACAGCTCAGCGGGTGGCCGTCTGGTTTCCTTTGAAGTGCCGCAGAACACCTCAGTAAAGTAAGAAAATTCTCAGTCTAAAATGGTTCGATTGGTGCTATGACCCACGTATGCCAGGTTGTGTTCAATGTAACGGGTTGGTAACTGGCCAGTCCAGTGAGAATCACGAATGGATCCCATGTGCAGATGTAGCCTATGTCACTGAAAAACTAGAGGTGGCTATTTTGGAGGAGGACATTACAGTTAGGATGTAGAACTTGGAAACTGAATTGGATAAGGCCTTAGGGAAGATCTGGAGCCAGACACCTCATCTCCCAAATGACTTTTGCTTCCCCCAATTATTGGCTTCTTTAGATTTTAATGGACCATTGGTTACATTCACAGACATGATTTACCCCAAGTCTAAAACGCACATGTTACAGTTTTCTCTTTAAAAACAAGCAGCTGAGAAGAGTGTTTTGTTTTGTTTTAAATTTAAGCTCAGACTGCCCATTGTCACCAAGGGGATGGGGAAGAGGCAGAGGGAAGTCGCTTCGGCTGAGCCTGATGTGTGCTGGGTGCTTTGCTTGAGCTCAGAGAAGTCAGCACCTGCCCAGAAGCACAGAGCTGGGGAGTGGGGTGGGGAGCCAGCATGACAGTGTCCCAGACCAGCTGACAACCCCTCACTGCCCCTCCTTCTATGTCTCTATTAACTGCCACCTCCTCATGCAACCTAATGGGCATTTGCTGCCCAGCCTTTGGGGATTTTAGAAAACTGGGGAACACATGGCTCTGGTTAACCAGTTTGGTGCATTGGCTCCTTTTTAAAGAGCCTGTGGGCACTAAAGACCTCTTCCATGTGTACAGGTCATTTTTGCCCACCTTGCTTTCTAAACATTGGAGTCCCTGAAAACACTTTGAAGAGGGACTTTGTAACATTGCTTCTGCACTCCCCTTTCCCCCCTCTTGAACTCGCTTTGGCCGGAGAAGAACCAGAGAGGGCAGCCAACTCCTTGGGCACAGGAGGAATGTCCCCACAGGGATAGGTGGAGTCTGAGGCAGCTTCGAGCTCTGCCAGTAGGGGGACCCCGCTCCTAAGTGTTTCATTGCTCATAATACTGAAACTCCCACCATGCAGAGCTGGTTTTAGGAAGTGCGGATCAGGATCACTACTTTCTTTTACTTTTATGAAACAATCTCCTAGTCCTTTCTTGTCTAGATCATATTATTTTATCTTTATAAGTCTTTCCAAATAGTTTTGATCTTTTTTACCTTTAAATGCTTTTGTTTTTTCCCCTCCCAACAAACCTGATATTCTCTGAGTGTATCTTAGGATGCAGAACTGGACAGAAATAGCAGAGTCTGTTCCAGGCTGAATGAGATCAGGGTGGTGGATGATCCCTGCCCACTGAATTTACTCTTTCATTTATTCATGAATTCAGTCGCTTATCAAACCTTTATTGAGCCCCCTGCTGCAAGCCGGGTTTCTGCGCTGGGAGGAGCAGCTCTGTGCACAGAGCATCCTGTGACCTTCTGACCCAGGTGAAACCCAGTTCTCCAGGAGCACAAGGGAGAATGGGCAGCTGCTGGGGTGGTGGGAAGATGATTGGGGGTCTCTGAGAAGAGATAATACAGGTTGAGCATCCCTAATCTGAAAACTCCAAATCTGAAATAATGCAGAATCCAAAACAGTTTTGGTCCCAGGCATTTCAGATAAAGGAGACTCCACCTCTGTGGGGTAGGGACACATTTCCCAGGTGGAGAAGAAGGGTACAAAGCTTGGGAGCTGGGAAAGAACCCAGCTGGGCAAGAGACAGTAGCTCCTTATTGCTGGAACATTGGGTTACTAGGATGGAGGTCTAGGAGTTGAGGTTGAGAGGGGAGCTGGGGCTGGGTTTGACTTGCTTTCTACAGCATCTCGTCCTCTGGATTTCATCCTGAACACGTGAATCCAGGGGAGGCCTGAAGCATGCAGGGTGTGAGAGAGAGAGAGAGAGAGAGAGAGAGAGACACACACACACACACACACTTTTGCTTCTTTTGACAGCATAACTCAGGTAGCCGTGTTGGGTTGCAGAATATAAATTTTAAATACAACTTATATTCTATTTAAATATACATTTATTTATCATAAATTTTAGCAAGGCTCTTTACATTGTATACACATGGAAGGATTTGTCTGTAAAAGAACTCAGTGTCCTCTATTATGCATTAAAATTGTTATCCAAATGTGAATTACTGATTAGAGGTATTCCTAACAATTGTAGGAAACCTCACGTGTGCACAGTTGAGGTGGACACTTGTTCATAGCATCATTTCATCAATTTCTGATACCTTTGTGAATGTAAATGTCATCTTTCTTTTTATTTTTACTGATGAACTGGTTCTAAGATGAATTTTTCTGAAAAGCAGTTTCCATTTCCATCGTTCCTGTTTTCAGAATTCGGCAAGATGCCACCGCTTCGCTGATTTTGCTATGGAAGGTCACGGCTGCAGGATTTCAACAGTGCTCCCTCGTAGACGGACGAAGCGTGACCCCCCTCCAGGCTCCAGGGGGCCTTGTCCTCTTGGAGGAGATGCTCACCTTGGGGCATAATCACTTCATCGGTGAGTTATGAAATCTACTCAACACTGTATCTGATTCAGCCCAGCCTTGGTTTGGTGTTTGGAGACAGAAAATTTTGCCCAGATAATCTGAATTCTAGCCATCAATACAATTTCCTTCATTTTTGGTAAGGTTTTACTTACAATCAAAATTGGTTTTTTTAGATAATATTTCTAGTCTGGCTCAAAGTGGAGAAATCGTGGGCTCTGGAATCTGGAGACTGAATTCCAGCCCAGACCACGACATCGTAGGTGTGTGATCTTTGGAGCCTAATGCTCAAAATCTGTTTACCTTTTTTTTTTTCATTTTTCTTTGTTCCTTTTTTCTTTTTATTATTATTATTATTATTTTTAAATTTATCCTTATACAATGTAAGCGATTTTCATGGCCCTTTACCAATTCCTCCCTTCCCCACCCTTTTCCACCCCCCACTGTTTCTTTTTGACTCTTTTGTCTGCTTTCTCAGGGAATTGTGGGCAACTTGAGGTGTTAAATGTTGGTTTCTTAAAAAAAACCTTTGTTCCCATTTGATTGTGGCCTGATTTATGGCTCTCAGGCACAGCACCTCACAAATGCTTTATCACTTCTGAGCACTGACTCAGAAATAACTCCTGGGGTTACAACTCTCTTTGGGGTCCCCCTCCCCTACACCGACCCCTTCTCCATGGGGTACTGCTAACTTTTTACTTTTTCTCTAACTTGCCTCTGTTATTTATTCTTCTCTAAACTACCCTATGTCCAATTAGCTGTTTTTAAATTTCTCTGTGCTGGAGTAGAAAATGGCCTTCAGAAAGTGAGACCCCCCAATGTTCCCCCCACCCCCCACCCCTGCCTCCTGTTCCTCC